CAAAATGATCCACTAAATTAATTATTAAAGTAATTTAAATTAAGTAAATTGTCTGAAATTTTGAGAAATACACGTTTTCACTTCCTCGTATGAAGGGGTTGGATGCTAATCATCAAGCTACCACGAGCAGCCAGTTAGCTTAGCTTAGCATACAGACTGGAAACAGTGTCGTCATTACATTAGCAACAATTTGCTATTCTTTAACTGAGATCAGGTACCTCCTTTCTGGTCTTTATGCTAAGCTAAGCTAACCAGCTACTTGCACTAGCTTCAGATTTGCAGTACAAACATTTTAATGTTCCTCATGTTTCAATTTAATTGTTCGCTCTATAAAAAACTAAGGCCTTGTTCTTGCCAATAGTAATATTTCTCTAGATGGATAACCAAAGAGCTCCAGCTGATGGCACTGGGACATCTCTTTATTTGGTTCTTGAAGATGTTTCAGCTCACAAACAAAAGCCTTCTTCAGTTGCCTTCTACCGAACAGAACAGAAAGAATAGAATGGAACAGAACTTTATTGATCCCTTTGGTGGAAACCTCAGGAAAACTGCTGAATAATTGTAATAATTAGTAATTTTTAATAATGTAATTGTATAATCACCATGACCTGAATGACAGTCTTCACAGACCTCGAGACAAATATCTTCCATCTGTCCACATGACCGTCTTTTTACAAAACATCTCTGTACGTATGCAAAAACAACTACAAAGGCAGAAAAGTGTAAATTCCAAAACTATAAAACTTGTCAGACAGCTCGTATATCACGGAAGCTTTTATGTTAGACTCAGGCCTTAACAAACGCCTATCGGAGAGTCTCGGTGTTAACAAAGCTCAGGTAACCGGGATATTGCACTGGTGCGCTATTCCAACGCTCAATGTAATTCCTCTATGGAGACTTTAGGTTGCATTCATGTTCTCAATAAAGATAGAAAATAAGTCTGAGATGATTTTCCACTTGTGAATCTTGGCTGCTGGCCTGGCATTAAAACTTCAACGATACAACTACAAACACCACAAAAGAAAATTCTGTCATTTTTCTGGACTTTTACCTGCAGATGTTGTGGACCAAGTGATATCGGGCCCGAGTGATGCAGCAATACCAAGTGGTAAACTTCTAACTGCTCATGCTAACCAAATGTAAAGAAGCTGGTATATATGTCTACTGTTGTTGTTGTTTCAGGAAAATGTTGGTAACACAAAGTAGCAAAAGACATGCATGCACAGAGGTGACATTATGGCTTCTGTCCACACAGATACATACAAACTAAGAGTAAATAATTTCATCTAAAATATTGCATTTTATTTATAAACCATATTTACAAATTTGCATTCAAAAATCTCCAGCAGACAAAAAAATTCTACCTGCAGCAACGTCACAAAGTCGCCCCGCGCCACGTGAAAAACCCCAAACCTGGCAACCCTGCAGTCCAAAGCCATTTAATTTTATGATGATGAAATGGAAAAATAGACCATTTTCACACTGGCTTTTTTCCCCCTGAAAAATGATCAATCTGATAAACAAAACTGCAGCTTTCTGGAAATTTTATGATGATTTCTTCAGCACTAAGATGAACAAATGCCACCACATGTTCACGCTACGTCAAAAGCCGCTGCTCACCAGACGCATAGAAAATATGAAGTCTGGTCTAAGCAGTTCATTCACAGCATAAAGCCAGGACCAGATGCCAAACCTCCATGGCAAACAGGCCAGACAACAAGCATCTATAGGCTGCAGCATGTTACATAAGTCAGCCTGCAGTTCCCCTGCACTGGGCCTCCTCTATAGGACAGTGTGTGCTCTGTGAACATATACAGCCACTGATCCGCTATAGGGCAGGACCGGACCGAGAGAGGCAGAGACAGAAACGGAGCTCAAACTGGGTGAATTATTGTGCGGCTCGTTGACTGATGCGGCTATACATACAAACACAGAGGAGAGATTTATGCCTGCGCCGGTAGCAGCAAGTCATCAAATCAAATACTCAAGAATGCAGAAAAGCCCACTTTGAAAGGGCCTGTGTGTGTGTGTGTGTGTGTGTGTGTGTGTGTGTGTGTGTGTGTGTGTGTGTGTGTGTGTGTGTGTGTGTGTGTGGTGGTCCAGGGGGGCGGCGACGGTTGCAGGTCTCCCATTTCAAAGCCGATCTGGTGTGTCGATTCTTTGTGCTCAACGTCGGCCGCTAATGAACTCACTGAGTGCACATACGGCCGCGTGTCCACAGATGATCCACTGCATCACGGCGCGTAAATCACTAATTAGCCTTGTGACCGTGGACGCTGCCCTACTTCTCCACTTGTGTGAACGTGGACGCAGAGTTCAAGGGGCTTTATGTCATCGAATTGCGCAAGCTTGCTCCTTTAAATGCGGAGTGATTCAGCAGTGCCTGGAGGTGCCAAGCCAGACTCGCTGAGGCACTCAAGATAAGAACATACCATACATAAATTCACCAAAAGAAGAAATGAGGCACTTAAAAGTGTATCATGCGACTGATAGAAACATTTTTCCTCGTTCAATGACTGCTCTTATCGTGTAGGTTTTTTGGAATTACAGAGATAAATAAAATCATTTAGGGAAAAGAAAACGAAAAAAATGTACAACAGAAGGAAAACAAACCATTCGATCGCAGAATAGGTTATAAAAGCCAGACACCAGTTGCACAGTGACCTTTGCTATCACCGTGACTCCCATACTGTATGGTAAGCCCCCAGTAAGCTTGAGACCTGACCCAGTTTGGAAAGAGAATGTGGGACACACACACACACACACACTTCCAGCTATTATATAGCTGGAAATATTTTTAGTCATGTGGATGAGGTCAAACACGGAAAGCCTGTGAACCAAACGTGTCCTGAAAGAACACGTCTAAGACTGCAGCTGTAAACGTACAGAAACAGATGATGGAGTGTTAACCAGGAACGCAGAACAATTGTGTGCTTCTTAGGAGACGAGAAAAAAAAAAAGAAGTGGCAGGTGAGAAGATGGAAAGGGAGCGCCAAAAGAGGCCTTTGGAGCAACGCCAGGTATTGTGTAAGTGGTTTTACAGCACAGAGACACACCTTGGTTCAAAAGGGGTACGACATGCTGCTGGATAAACAAAGACCTGCAATCAGTGCTGTGAAAACAGTCTCCCCTCGCAGCCTGAACCGGTGGTTTATACCACTGTCAGAGCAGAAATGAGCTCAACTGAGCTCCACTGAAAGACAGCAGCACAAATCAGGTGAGTAGTCATTACCAAACAAAAGAACCAGAAGAACGTATTTTCTGACAGTAAAACAAGGTGGCAGCAGGCAAACAAAGCACAAAGCTCAGTGCTGTGTAAGCATGCCGACATGGGCCCGGCCAGATAAAGGCGAACATCACGTCATATTTTTCACTTGAGTGGAAGAAAGTCATTTACAAGCTGAGAAACTTCCAAGATATATTCTTTATTTAAAAACTAAAGTGAATTGTAACTTAAGACAAACACGTTTAACATTTATACATGGAAGACTTTCAGTCGATGCGAATAATCAACCCTTTATTTCGTCTCTTAACCTCAAAACCCGCCGGCAGGTTCGACATTAATAGAGCCAGAAACTATAAAACAGAAAGACTCATTGAAATTTGTACTTTTCTGATTGTAGGAGCCTAAATCTATTTCCTTGGTTCTGGATTTGGTTCTTATTTTACCACGATTATTTCTATTTGGTTTTGATTTTTTGTTCTACAGTAACTTTGATATTTAAAGATTATGATTAACATTTTTATTTTGCTAAATTTATCTGTTATTTGGTTAAATGTTGTTAATCATATTTTTGGATATTTGAATTCTGTGTTTGTGTGGTGTTTTGGTTTATTGATTTGTTTTTGATATTTTGGTTCACTATATTAGGGTCCCTTAAATTTGCAAGGGCTCTTGGGAAATGAATGATGGCATGGAGCCAAACAGTTATTCGACTGCACACGCTTTGTATCCTCGTTTTGCTTCTGTCTGTAAATTTTTATTTTTGTGAACTAAAGAATCCCTTTTCAACCGCAACTTGGTGTCAGCTGGATTTTATCGTTGGAGTACACCCAGTCAGTGTATACAATGTGGATATTGGAAAGCTACGGGGGAAAAGTGAGTCAAGCTGGGCTTCATGAACTTTAGACCACTGATGGTCCTTGAACTTATCATCAGTGATGCTGCGCTTGAAAACTTGAAATCTTCAAAAGCTTCTAATCGGAATATTTCATCAAAATTGTTTTATTCCGCTTTCAAGTCTCATTGAAAATTAACCAAAAATAATTCCTAGATTCTATAAAAACAATCAATTCTGTGCTCGTTGGTGCAGACGAGAGGCCATTAGTGACTCAGCAGAGACCAACAGTCACATGACTAAAAATATTTTTGGCTGAACTGCAGGCAGTGTCAGATAGGAAATTTAAAATCTAAGTAGGAAAATGTCTATAGTGCGGACAGCAAGCAGGTTTCTTTAATCACGTACAGCTTTACAATTACGTCATACTGGGAAAAAAGACATTTCTGACTTCTGTTTACTTCTAGTCGTGGTTGTGCTGTTTTCATAGGGGAACTTTATATTGCAGCAAAAATGTGACAGGAGCAAAGAAAAAAACTGCTTAAGGTTCAGAGGGTTAAGGCACAATCTGTAGAAATAGAAAAATAAACCTCTTAAAATGTAAATTAAAGAAAAACCCAAAACATTAAAATGCAGAATTCTTCAGCTGCACAGGCCATTAAACATCTCATTTGTCCTTTAGAGTTCACATCCCTACGACAAAAACCTCAAGACCAACGCTTCTGTCTGTGAACATTCACTTATGAACGTATTTATGCAGGATTTCAAACGTGTTTTTTTTTGTTCGTATCAACAATCAGCACAGTTCAGAGTTATTACTTCCATTTGGCTCCATGGGAGGAAACAGAGGACTGTAATTAAACATCCATTTGTTGGTGCACAAACGTGAACGAAAATGGATGTAGTCCAGCTTTTAAAATGTCACAGGTACTTCCTTGTGTGTCGTCCTGGTGTCTTTGGAGGAATCCTGAGAGGCTTCAGTGCAGCCCGGGGCAACAGTAGCACCAGAGTCCTCTGAGAGAGTCTCTCCTGCAGACACTGGAGGTGCACCGGCACTCAGGGACCGGTCACCGGCTGGATCAAGCTTCCTCTTTTTCCTCACATGATAGTGATGCTTCTTGGATTTCAGGTGAGCTGCGGGCACAGAGGATAAACACTCCAGGATATATATCAAGTATGAGACAGCACTGTTTCATCTCAGTGACACTTGTAGATCGTGATCCAAATGAATCACACTCGAGGAAAACAAGTAGAAACTTTGCACGATGAGTCCCGGAGGTGGTCTTGAAGGTTCTAAGTTAGGTCATCTTAAACAGGGAACAGAAAAAATCAAGTGTCTTTAATATCCTCCATTAAGATAATAAGTAGAAGTGGGCGTTAATGCGTGAGAATAATTCAATCGCATTCACTGTAACGAGGCAGAAACACTCTCAGGGTTTTCAGGATATATTATATATATATAGTCATAGACCAGTTTTACAGAATATATATTGTGATGTCCAAATAAATAACCCCCTCAGCTGCAAACCTGCTTGTGGGGTTCAAAGCTGAGTTGTATTTACCAAAATGATCACACCATTTATCAGAAACAGTGAAAACAGAGAGAATCACGAGGTTGTGACCTTTCTAATGACCCTCATCTGTTAGGTGCCGGTCGGACGGGAAATGAAACCAAATCGAATCAAAAAAAAAAAAAAAAAAAATCAGGGACTTTTCAGCTTTGTTTTCACAGAGCAGATCGGAGAAAAAAAGAATGGCACCAAATTAAAAACGTAAGTAGTCAAACATCTATTGTATGTATTGTTTTTGCAATATTGGTAGAACCTGTGAACACTTGAAAAACGTACATGTTTATTCCTTTTTTTAAAAAAATTTTTGCAACACAATTAAAAAATGAAGTTCACCGAGTTCATCATTTACGGCACTTTAACGATGTCATACTGCTCTACAGAGATTTTAGAGTTTGTCTCCTTCTAGCCAGCCACAGTGAGTAAAAATACGACAGAAGCAAAAACCACCCAGAAGCTGCTTGGTGTACGAGGGGTTAATAACGTGTCGCCATGTTGTATGAAGTGCCTCACCTGTCCACTCCAGGTCACCAATGATGACTTTGTCACACAGGTCACAGGTGTGGTGGCTGCGTTTGTTTCTCTGCTCCGCCGCCTGCACTCTGATTGGAGCAATAGCTGGTTCTTCACCCTGATAAGTGGAATTAAAAAAGAAAAAAAGCTGACTGAATTAGGCCCGATAGCATGTTTAGGGCATACCGAGTTGAGAAACAAAGAAGAAGACGGAAAAGAAAAAATGCTGGACAGTTGGCAGGTGAGGAAGGAGAGCTGCAAGGAAAAAATAAGAAGAAAAAGAAGAATGACAGAAAAGACTGTTGGATAAAATGCGACAGAAGGGACAGGAGAAAGAATGGAGGGAAAGTAAGGTCGAGAAGTGTATTTAGGAACACGACAGAAAGATGTAAAAGAAAAAAAACAGTCGAGGAAGAAAAACTGCAAACAATAAAGCGAACAAGGGAGCAAATGGAGATAAAAGAGGCGGGTAAGGTTGTAGTAAAAGGAAGCAAGGAAGGAAGGAGACGCAAACAACAAATTTGATTGCAATAAAAACGGGCAGAATGATAAAGAGAGCACCAATAACAGGCAGTGCAGAAACAGATCAGCGCTCCATGATAAAAGTAGCTGCCAGCTGCAGGCCCCACCTTACTGAGGCTGTCCAGTATCTGCAGTGCAGGGTTCAGCACCGTCTCCTCCCACCTCGACACGTCTGTCACATCCAGGCCAAACACTGACGGGACGTTGTCTCCTGGTCCTGCACACGCACAAAGGTCAGACATGCACAGTTAGCATGCTTTATGCATTTTACAAGGCCAGCTGCCGATAAAAGGGAATGATGGCTTTTCGGGGTTCTTATGTGATTCGGTTTTTCCAGTTATTTAGAAGTAAAGCCCCTGACAACAACAACAACTAGACCTACTGTGCTTTATAATGTATATGAGTAAGCAGCCAGCATGCAATTCATTCATTCATTACACCAGACAATCACAAAGTGCTTATCTGAGCCTGCTGATTGCACATCTAATAGGAAACACACAGGCTAAAGAGGGTCTGACTGCCTGTCAGAAAGGCTCAGACGGACCAGTGCGAACTGGGAAACGTTACAGGAGCAGTGATGTGCTGGAGCCGCACCCTGAGGCTCCGTCAACCTGCTGACTCACACTGGCTCGATAATGTCTCTCCCTCCTTCCTCCCACCCCTCTCTCCTGTGCACCATCTCTCTTTCTCTCGCCATCAGTCTTGCTTCAGCTTTCACTCACTCTCTCCTTCTCCCTCTAACTGTTCCACCCCCGTGTTTCTATTTTGCATCAGTCAGCAGTCTCCAGGCCAGGCCTCAGCATTAAACAGCAGCACCAGTCCCTGCCCTGCTCGTCTCTCTGTCTGTCTGAGAGTCCGTCTGCACGAAGAGCCACTGCCCTGCATCGACTGAAGACGCACCTTGTAGAGAAAGTGACTTCTAACAGGTGCAACTTTATGCAAACAAAGTCATATTTTATATTTACAGACTACCAACTGGAGTCATAAATACAGGGGCAGAAAATATAGAAAAACTAAATCATAGTGTAAAATAATTCGTTTTAATAAAACAGAAAAAAGACAAAAGAGGCTTGCAAGTGCTGTGATATGTTCACAACACGGGTAACCGTTAGGGAAAAGGGTTAACATTCTTTTTTGTTATATAAGGAACTGAACGTTTTTTCATCCAGACAAATAGAAGAGCCTTTAAAAATACAGAGCAGTGTTTTCTTTCTTTCCTTATTTTCTATTCTAACCTTTAGTTAACCAGAGAAAAGGTTCACAGAGGTTAGGATTCTCTTTTACAAGAGCGTCCTGGCCGAGACGGGCACCGAAATAACGTAACAGATTAGAGACATGCAGACCCAAAGCGACTGAAATAAGGTTTACACAAAGATTTAGGGAACATTAGAGTATCATGATGTTGCCAAAATATATGTCACAAGTCATCAGTGGTGATAGTCAAGGACATGACCATCCAAATGCGTTTGAATGCAAGTTGCATGAAGTTGCTTTAAATCCATTTAACAGATCAGATTTAGGCAATTTTGCAACTGATTACAAGCAGCATATTTAAACACCTTTTTTTCCCAATTCAGTGGAGGCTGAAAAATAATGACCTTTTACATGACCTTTAAGGCTTCTATAGCATTGCTAGTACTTTATCTTTTAGAGCACTCAAAGGTTACCTCTGCGACCGAATGTATGCAAACTCATAGAGGAGAGGAACAACGCGAGGATGTACGACATAGACAAAAAAAATCAGTCCGCAGATCTACTCATGATTAAACTTTTTTTCTTTAAAATGCAAAAAATAATACAGCAGAACCTGACATATTGTCTTTTCTATTTCACACATTTTTCTTGTCAAAACCTGGTGAATGTAATTACCAAAAAAATCATTTACACCTGGCAGTTCGATTGGTGGCTCAAGTATGTTATGCTAGCGTGGCTGATGTAGCATTTACACCATGATTGTACTCCCTTGCAGACGCATACTGTGAGAGCTCTCGGATGCGTAGCGGTTGCTGTCAAACTACTTTCTGGTCCGTTTGGACGACTATCTTTCATACATGCATAGAGGGTTGGAATCTAGGGGTCCTGTGAACACTACTGCCGTTGTTGTACAGTCGCCGTGCAGACTCTCATTGACTTGGCGAGATGAAAAATGTACATCACACGTACCCCAGTGGACCTTCGCATACTTAAGTACGTATAAACTTAATGTTCTGTCCATAGCTATTAGCTTGAAACAGAAACGAGGAGCAGGCTACGTAGAGCCCATCCATAGACTGTATAAAAGATTGACGTAGCTTCCGTGACGTCACCTGTTGGTTTCTGCACTGAGAAAATGAAGCCAGGGTTTTGGTACTTCCTGGTTGACATCTTGGATTTTTGGAGCCAGTGACGCAAAAATCGTCGGAGGGGGGCGGAGCCATAGGAGCAGCGATTGGTCAGATGGATTGAGAGGCGGGCCCTCTCTGCCCGCCCACATTTACCGCCTTCTGCTCGCTTCATCTGTATGGTCGCTGCCGACTGTCAATCAAGCCAGCCACGCCCCTTGCCCCGCAAAATGTTGATGATTTTTAAAAAATTCAGTATTGATTTATTTTCAGATTGGCCACCTGATCTCTGGATTTGACTATGAAAACTAATAAACAAAAAATCCTGAGCTGTAGGAATGCAGTATTTCATGATCTGTGATCACTTCTTTTCCAATTCCAGTCTATGGGAGCCAGGGCTTTTTGGAGCCAGGACTAGTGGACGTAGTGATATTGCAGGTTTTTGACACTTCCGGGTTGGCTTCATTTTTCGGGGCCGGTTGCTACGTCCATCTTTTATACAGTCTATGAGCCCATCTACACTTTGTTTAAAAAATGCCTTTTGGTGATCTGAACACAGCTGGACCACCAAGACACGACACTGTTCATACTTGTGTCGATCATCCGAGGTGTCCAGCTGCCCGCCGAGGTTCAGATTTTGTTACTGCTCACATCACGTCTGCCAGAAGGTCAAAGAGCTCCACGCACTGTTAGTGCTTCGTTTCCTATGGATTAGCTAAGAAAACACAGTTCAAGAACTAACAGTTTGTACAGTAGACAGCTGGGACTGGGATCCCATGAGTCCTGTGGAGTGGAACCAGAAAAAGTCTCCTAGGAGTGGGCTGTTTTAACTTTGCTGCTGGCAGCAATGGGCGGTCAAAAAATAAACTGCGATTTCCTGCAGCCAGAAGGATTGAGTCAACACATGAAACTTAAAAGAAGATTAAAGCAGGTTTTTATAATACAAAAGCAAAGCAAGGGAAGTCAGACAATAGGACAAATTTCTCAGTTGCTACCGACAAAGATGGAAAAGAACTAGACTTTTCCATTTGTTGTGATGAATGTGCATCGTGTTGATGTTACAACAGGCACAAACCTGTCGCCTCTGGCTCGGGGCGACACATGCTCGGTTCTCCCAGGTCAAACTTAGCTCCTCTTCAAAGATAAAGCATCCCACACACATTAAACAAAATACTGTCAAGAAACACATGAAATGTGTACTCACTGCCCTAGAAAAACTCATTCTTACGAATGTATTTGTAATTTTGCTGCGGTATTGCCAACTGGTCTGCATCTCTTTATTAATGTTATACAGCAGAATAATGTGTTGCCCCTCTGGGATTGGAGGAGACACAAAATCAATCAACCTATACTGTGAGGGTGAAAATGTTTGCAAGTGCAGGCGGGAGTGGACACACAAACTGCAAGGGCAGGCGGCAACGGTCAGAAATCCAGCAGGGGCAGGATTGGGAAAACATTTAGTCCAGTTCAGGGCACTAAAGTCGAGGCTACTCCGATGGTTGAAACTGGAAAAACAAAGTCGTTTGTGACTTGCAAAAGAGTCAACAACCACCACAGTCTGTACTGATGACATATGTTGTTGGTACGCTCTTGTTGAGAGTAAATCAGGATGCATTCGTGTTTATACAAAAAAATATATGTGGTCAATGTATCCTAGAGCAGCGGTACCCAACCACCGGGCCGCGGACTGGTCCAGGTCATTTGGTACCAGAAAGAATAAAAAGGTTTTATTGGTTTGTTTTATTTCCAGCAGAGTCTGCAGGGCCTTTTATTTTGAAAAATGACTAGCTCGTCTTCCCATCACTTCCGCCTATGCTTGTTTTCCGTCAGTTTTCATGGCCTGCCTTTAAACAGAGCCATCAGTCTAACCGCTGCCAAAATGAATAATAAAAAAAATTCTCTGGAGAGCTTCTCAGAAAAGAGGAGGAGACATGGCGCTAAGACAGAAGAAAAAGTAAAGACATATTTAGCAATAAAAAGTAATTTCATTTGTTTATGACACTTTTTTAATAAAAAAAATGATTCCTTGTTATGTGCGCAATGACCGGTCCGTAGAAAATAGTCGTGCTTGAAACCGGTCCATGGTGCAAAAAGATCGGGGGATGCTGTCCTAGAGCACCTCAGCAGATGATTTGATAAGGGCTGTGATCCAGTCGCTTGTATTTGAAAACCAACTGTAAACAGGGTCTTAGATTTCTTTGTAACTCCACAAATCTTTTTTTTTTTTCATTTTATTTTCAATCTTGTAACCCTCACACTCAACCAATGCAAAACCTCTAAACCACGGGTGCCCAATCTTGGTCCTCGAGGGCATGTTTTAGACGTTTCCCTCTTCCAACACACCTGATTCAAATGACCAGGATCGTTATCAGGCTTCTGCAGAGCTCGATGATGAGCTGATCATTTGAATCAGGTGTGTTGGAAGAGAGAAACATCTAAAACATGCAGGATTGCGGCCCTCGAGGACCAGGATTCGACACCCCTGCTCTAAACAGACTGCGCCGCGTAAAGTCGATGTCAGTTCCATTCAACTCTGATGTGAAGCAGGTACGTTTAACACGTCATCCGCCTTCGCTGGCCAGAGCAGACACAAAGGCATCCGTTTAAGTCAGGTTTTTTTGTATAAAATATCTACGTGTTAAACCTGCACCGATGCAGATGAATCCCATTAACCTGTAAAGCACTGTCAGCCAACTCAATTATGGCTTAATCCCTTCCACACAGACTGAAGTGTGGATTTGAGGGCAGCAGACACTTTGCCGACTGAAGTTTGCTAACTCTGCCGGGACCCGTCTGGGCTTCCATTATTGCAGAGCAACACAGAGCGGTAACTGTGCGACTGGTCATCTTTATAACCAACAGTACTGACTGTGTGTGTGGGAACACTGAGTCTTCA